TGAAAAGGGGGGGGGGGGGGGGGGGGGGAGAGTGGGTGGGGGAAAATAGTGTGAAGTATGTAAGAGTTCATCTCAGCTGACTTTACTGCTCTGATTTTTTCAGCTCTCCAGAGCATATGACAGATGACAACCTAAGGATCTTTTTCAACAATAATGTGTCAGAGAAATCTGCGGTGCCTAATTTTTAGTAGTGAGTTTTGCAAAATGTTAACATTTTTGGAAATCTCAGTGCAGGTGGAATTTCCTGCTCTACATATGATATGAGTGTAAGCTGGACTCGGCTAAGATCTGAACTTGAAGGAGCTCTGGCTACACCAGCTTCAGAGGGTGGATTGAAGATGTGAGGAAACCATTGCAATATTCTTTGGGTCAGGCTCAGCTGGGATTGAATAATATGGTTAAAAAAGGTAGTTTTCTGAGAAAGTAGCATCTAGATATTCTGAAGGTATAGTGACACTGGCAGATGAAAAGTAGTTATTGGAATTTATTCTTTTATAGCATCCATTGTCATTTATCTCTCTCAAGCAGTTACTAATTTCTGCAGTAAATAATGTGCACTGTCTTTGCCAGTAAAGTTTATCTCTTCATAAATACTTCCCATTTTTCAACTTAGACAAGCTTTTATGCTCCATTCATCCATTCAGCATGTTCCATCTTATCCCACCGCATCTGGCCTCAGAAATCCCATTAGTACTATCTCTGTAGCTGGAGGGAGATCCATAAATAATTCTACTGTGCACATGAGCAGGACTTCTAGTGTGAAAAACCACAAACTTTCCCCCAAGGTGTCATATCACCTGCAAAATCCACAGAGTTTGGCACACTGTACAACAGTGTGGGCAGTCTAGACAATATCAGTAGCTCCTTTTCTGCCTCTCATTTTGTTCTTTCCATAAAACCCTGCCAACGTACAGCTCATCGTGACTGTTAGGACCCTTTCAAATCTCTTCTGATAGCTCTTCATTAAATCTATTAATATAACTTTTCAGGTAATTATTTTGATCTGTGTATGTCTAAAATATCTTTCTGAAGTATAGTCAGCCTTTGGAAGAGGATGAAAGTGCATTATAAGAATCTGATCCACTGTTGTCTTGTAACCATTTGACTGTTCCTCCTTGCTATGAATAGTAGGGTTTTATAGGTGGAATATAAAGGGGGAGGAAAACGTGGAAAAACTCCCTAGATACTAGTTAATGCAGCAAG